AAATAACAGACCACTAGATATCAAAATTAATGTTTGCGTAAACCCTAAGGTTAATCAACGCTGTGGTCATTAATATTGATTACTAATATTGTTGATGTAAATAGTATTAGATACAATAATACAATATAATGGTATTGTATATAATATTGAATTAAAATAAATATGATTTGATTTTAAATCATAAATTAAATGATGTGTTGCAATAGTGTCCTTACTTTCATACATAAGATATTTCCAATTCTTATAACTGATTTAATTGATAAGTTTAATACTGTTTAATACCTTTTTCTTACTCTACTCTATGACATAATTATCAAATGAGCACAAATTTAAAGGTCTTTTACTGTATATACGCTTATACTGTAGTTTGTTTTGGTTAGTATAAGTTATATGCTGCATAACCAATAATCAAAAATATTATCATCGAATTTTAACAAAATAATATTAAATTAAATATTATAATTATCGTATTAATTAATTATTAGATATTTAAAACTGTTATGGATTAGAGAGTAATTACGCTAAAAAATATACCAGCATAATTAGAGCCAAATTCAAAAATCCTCGGTAATTTTGGAAATTGCTGGACGCGCTGAACAATGAGTCCCGACATTCATGTAGTCTATTGAAAAGCAAATCAAGTTTTAAATACAAGAGCAACAATATTACTATTGACAATGATCATTGATCAAAATGAAGCTTGATCAAATAATTAATTTGAAGTATACAATAGTTGCATAATTGCATACAACACAATTAGTAAATAAGGTTGACTTACGGTAATTTCAATAAATTATTGTCAATAATATTCATTGCAGTCAAAACTAGGAATAGTTTGAGGCTATTAAGTATAAATACGGCTTATTTAGGTTATGGCAGACCAGTTATATAAGAAACATATTATATTGTAAAGACTTTTACCATTGATTACTATATCTATTTATTCTTAAGCTCTACCGAATGGCAAATGTCCTAAAAGTTGACCACAATTTGTTGAATATTTTCGCCATTAAGTTTATTAAACAAATCACATTAATCTTACATTAAACTTATTTAATACTAACAATTCTAACAATAATTTCTATATATAAAGCCCTAAAAGGTAATAATCAATATATTGATTAGTTATATCTTATAATCTTTGCAATTATAATATAGATATTGTAATATCTATACAATATGAACAAAACTTAAAATTTTGTAAAATCATTTAAATCTTAAAATAAATCTTTAGCATAAATTATGCCCTTTAATAGAGCATTATGCCCTTTAATATATTTATAGTGAAAGTACATGTGTTTATCAACTGTGATATTAAGAAGCCCAACAATTTATAACTAGCAATAAGTGCTAATTAAAAAAATTGTCTGGGAGTGATAATTGAATATTTCGGACATAAGAATGGATTTTATTAAATATTTATGTCTGTTTTGTCTAAATTATTAAATTTGAGATAAATTCCGGTCGAATCTCCCGGAAAAATAAAGTACACTTTTTAACATGTCATACACTTATTAAATGTGTGGTATTCTAAATATGATAATAATTATAGTTAAAATGATTATGTTTATTAAAATTAATTAATTTCCACAAGTGTTATTCATCTTATTTAAGTATAATGTATAAAACCTAATTTTTAAATTGTATTTAAATAGTATTTGTAAATTCTATCTTAAAATATAATTATACTAATATATTATCTAATACTAATAAAATTATCAAATAAAACAATAATTTTACACTTAATTTATCAAACATATAATTGTTTATTAAACAATATTAACTGTATATAAGATGTAGAAATCCATTATTGAAGAACTGTCATAACTTTAACTAATTTCTATGTCTATATTTCACAAATATTTCAAAATTAAGAAGTAATTATTTATAAATATACTGTAGAACCAATCGGAGATTAATTAATTGAAATACAGCGAGTCTAAATACAAAATTATAAGGTATGGCTTTCCTATTTTAATTTCCCATTGAACATTCATGATTCATGAATATTTATTTTAGGGCACAATTATATTTTGTCATTTGTTTAAATTGTCTTAAATTTAGCAAAATCACATTTTATATTTTCTATTATGATTAATGGCTGTCATATAGTAAAGCCTCGTTTATTGGTCATTGGTCAATTACAAACTCGGTTAATAATTAATTAAAATAGACCCATAAATAATTTTGACAATTATACATGTATTGACGGATTGTAACACTAAATTATCATACTTTAGTTAATATTTTATCATGTAACATATAGTTTTCAAGCTTGTTAATTGTGGACCGATAATTTGATATAACTTTATAATTCAATGATATACATCCAATATTTGAGCTAAAAATATAGTTAACGCCAAACCATATGAAAATGGTCTCTACACCGTATATGTATATCTAAATAACTCGCATTATTAAAACTGATTTTGTTAAACCTGGATGTAATTATTATTTTATATAAACTAATGTTAAACTTTAAAATATACTACTATAACAAAAATAGGAATAAATCATTATTTTTGTGATAAGATAAGAGTCGAATATATCGCCAAATATTATGCATTCAGACAAACAGTGACTAAGAAACTGATAATTGATATCCTGTGCACTCTATTTGAGTTTCATTCTTGTGCTAAAGTCTATTAAAAATAGTATACTTTACAATATAATCAGGCAATATATGAGATTAATTAAATAAATGTAATATTTTTAAATTATTATATTAATTATAATATTTGATACATTAAATTATTAATAATATAGATATAATAATCAGTGGTTTGTAGAATTAAAGATTATAATTTTGACACTTTGATTGTAATAAAATTATTAGTTTAGTAGTTTGTAATGGTTGAAAAGTATTTTACCAACTTAAAACTTGCTGATATAGTATATAATAAAAAAAACGACAACAAATAGTTTTAACAATAGGGTAATTTTTTTTAAATAAAACAGTACCAAACTTATATACCTTGGATATTCCACAATCATTGTACACGTATTTTAAGATTAATATTAGTTTCCTATGGTAACTATTGCATATTATCATCTCTCTCTCTCTCTCTCTCTCTCTCTCTCTCTCTCTCTCTCTCTC